TCACCACCTTTAGATGAGAAATACTTGCTTTTCTCCCCATCGTCTTGGCAGCATTTACTCATCTCCTTCATAAAGGTGACATGTAAAGCTCCATACAATCATGGTGTCTGGCTCAAAGTCTAGGATTCTCTGACTATCTCTACCTTGTGTGAGTCTTAATCTGGAGACAAATGAACACGAAGCAAGCCTATCTGCCACCCTGTACGTGGCACACAGTAGTGGGACAGAGGCAGGGTGCCTACAGTAAACGTTCCCACAGCAATAACTGGTCCTCAGAAATTCTGAATTGGGTTGAAGGGTTTCTTCTCCAGCGGTGGGCAGCGATCCTCCAATCAGCCTGGATCTACGTCCAGGGTGCAGTTTCCTAGTCGGCTGTTCTCCAGGGCTCCACTTTCTCTGAGTTCCTTTTCCATAATCTCTCCTGGCGACATGAAAGAGGACACTGGAGGATTTGCTTTCCTTGAGGGATGAGCGATTTCCCAGGTTGTCTCTTGCCTATAAAAGCCTTGGGGTTCAGGGGTTGCTTTACGCCTCAATCACGGTCTCCTTTAGCTCACACTGATGGTTCTTTGGGAGGTAGAACCATCTCAGAAACATAACCAGCTTCTTACTTCTCTGACTTCAGTCAGCTCTATGTACAACAGACCCTCATGCGCGTGCGCACACACGTACGTGCACACACACGTACAGAGCTCATGCTGAGATGAGTCCTTCTCCCTGGACTTGGCCGCAGGCACCCTGAGTTGACCAGCAGCAATCTGTGGGGAGGTCACACTTCGGTTTTTGCCCAGGGCTGTGATGTCTGACTGACCGTGTAGGTGTTAACAGCACCTCAGGCATGAAGGCCAAGCCTTCAGTTGTCCATGCAGTGCTGTAACTGGTTTTGTTCCTCAAAAGCCTAACCTCTTTCTCCTACCCAGTGGAGTTGAGAATCATTTATGTTTTCAAATGTGAAGGCCTCCAAACGCGCTGCTTTTCTCTGTTGCTTCTCACTCCTATTTATATCCTTGCCAATTGTTTTCCGAGTTTCTCTCTATTGTAGTGGCCTGTCACACAAAGACAACAGCAGCTAACTGTTGTAATAGTCCGAGGCCTGTGCCGTTAGGCCCTGCTGAGTCAGTGATGACTCAGCCCCCTGCACACAGGAACAGCGCTCCCCGGGGCCTGTGCCAGCCTCCCAGCCGCCCTGGGAACCCACTGCTGCAGTCCATCCAGCCTGCTCAGGGTCTTCTCTCGTCACTTACCCTCTACCAGGCACGGAGTCTTTCTCCAGGGACCAGCTGCTGCTGACCCACCAATGCCGAAAGTCACAAGCTCATTACGATTTGACGTGCCCTTCCAGTCATCACAGATAACGATGTTACCAAACCTTATGCCGCTCCAGCATCCGACACCCCTCTCCTCCCTGCTGCCAGCCGGCCCTGAAGCCAGTGCCCTGTTTCTGACAGCAGCCTCTTACCTTGGTAGCAAGTCCTGTGGAGGCCGTGACAAAGCAGGCCACGCGGCCGTAATAAATCACGTCAGGAGCCTTACAAAAGCTGCACTTTCTTTCTCATCCTCGCTACCTTTCTGCTGCAGTCCAGCTGCCCCTTTCCAGTGCAGGGTGATGGAGCCGCTCTATAACCACTCTGCGAGTTCTTGTAATCAAAGGAAGATGAGGGCAAGGAGTCATGCCTGGTTTCTGAATGTTCAAAGGTTTAGCTTAGAGATGACACAAGCCACTTGTACTCACATTTCACTAGTCAAATTCAACCGCAGGACCAAGACTGCCATCGGTGGGCATGGGAGCACCATCCCCCGCGGAGGAAGCGGCTGAGCTCAGTCCTGCATACTGGACTTGGTTTACCAAGTTTACACCATCTCAGGGGGAGGACGGAAAGGAAAATGCCAACAGCACCGGAGAAGAAGGATGCCTTTGAAATGCTTCTCAGTACCAGACTGAAAACGTTAACTTGAGCACACACGTAGGAAGGCATTTTCCTGTCTGTATTGTGTAACACGTTCTGGCGGCCTCAGTGAGGGAGATGCTCAGTGGCCGGTGTGTGACCCGGCGCTGCGGTGGCCGCATGTGGCTGAGGATGTGGTGCGCTCAGAGCCAGGCCTGCTGCTGACGGGACTCCCGCACTGGTCCAGTGCTCTGGCCTGAGGCTGGACCTGCCAAACCCAGGGTTTACACATGAGCTGTAACACTGTCCCCAAGTCTCCATTTTTAAAACATTCCCTGAAGATAATCTTAAGTGTTAGAATGCTGATGGACAGGTGGGAGTGGAGCCCAGCAGACATCCTGCATTCGCAAGGAGCAGGCTCTTTCCTTTCTCGAAGGCTGTGTTTGTTATGAGCCTTTGAGTCTAAGGTTAGAGCCCCAAAGCCTGAAGCTGGCTTCAGACTCCCCAGGACACGATGTCAAGGAGATTGTCATTCTTTGAAGATGTTGCCAAATATTTTCCAATATATTATCAAATTGCCTTTTTGCTTTTAGCGCTTCAAACAATAAGGCATTTACAGGAGGCAAGCATTGTTAAGAGCATATCTGATCTTGCTCCTTTTTCAACATGAGCTATTCTAGTTCTCTGTAACAAAATCATTTCCACGGCAACTAATTATAGTGTAATCACAAGTGCTGAATTACTACCACTGGTGGGAAATGAGAAGCAACCATCATGCAAATATTGAATGCTTCTTATTTGTGAAGTTCTCCCAAGAACTGCGAGCTAATAAAATGAGGGAGAAACACACAATATCTAGTGTAGACAACCAGTGTTCAAGCTGGCTTTGTGAGAGAGCAGCTTAGCATGAATCTGAAGAGAATTTTTTTTCTGCAGATGATGCAACCTTGCTTCCTGAAGCATTAACTGAGGAAAGTCAAAGACAGCAGGCTTCAGGACACATTACATCTCAGCATCAGACAGGCACAAATCTTCACGTCGAACCAAGAAGCAACGTCATGAAGAAAACACTGAAGTGGACAAGAATTTCATTTTACTTGGATCCACAATCAACACCCATGGAAGTAGCAGTCAAGAAGTCTGCCAATCAACCGCAGTGGGAAAATCTGCTGTAAATAACCTCTCTGAAGTGCCACGAGCAAGGATGTCACTTTAAGCACTAAGGTGGGCCTGATCCAAGCTATGGTATTTTTAATCACCTCATCTATGTGTGAAAGCTAGATAAGGAATAAGGAACATGGAAGAAGAAATTATGTCTTTGGATTATGGTGTGGTAAAAATATGGAATATATGAGACAAAACAAAAATCTGTCCTAGAAGAAGTATAATCAGAATGTTCTTTAGAAGCAAGGATGGAGAGACTTCACCATACACACATTGGGAATGCTATCAGAGGGGCTAACTGTGCACAGGGTGACTGTCTCCAGTCATTTGTTGCTGTTGGTGCTATGACTCCCAGGGATCCTATTAACAAGAAGCTGGCACCCTGCCCTGTGCTGTACCAACCTCACCGTCTCACTTGAGGCTACTGTTCTAGTCACAGTGTCACTTCATATTAGTGAGGATCTTCCTCTTTCTCTGACTCTTCCCCCTTTGCCACAATAGTGACTTTTCCCAAACGCGGGTCTCTTGACAACAGGCCCAAAGCATGTGAGACAAGGTTTTACCATCCTTATACATGACATCTCACCATCAAGAAAACAAAAATCTCCACCATGGGACCAACAGGCAACAGGGAGTGAGACGGAGAAAAGGTTGACATTGCCAATGCCTTAATTTTACTTGGATCCATGGTCAACACCGATGGCAGAAGCCAAGAAATGAAGATGTGTGCTGCATTGGGCAAGTCTTCTGTCAAGGACGTCTGTAAAGCGCTGAGGAGCGAGGGTGTCAGTTGAAAGACTAAGGTGTGCCTGATTCAAACTGTGGTATTTTCAATTTTTTTTATGCATCTGGAATTTGGATAATGATTAAGGGAAGACCGAGGAACGCATGCTTTTGAGTTGTGGTGTTGCAGAAGAGTACTGAATACCCATGGACTGTCAAAAGAACAAACAAGTCTGCCTCTGGGGGAAGTGCAACCAGGGTTCTTAAAGGCAAGGACAGCAAATCTCACATATTTTAAGTGAAAGAAGTCAAACATAAAACCCCACATATTATATCATTTCATTTCTCTAGAACATCTAAAAACACCCCCAAATATATATCTCTCCGGAAAACATGTTCACATAGAAACCTGTACACAAATATTCATAGCAGTGCAACTCATAAGACCTCACAAGAGAAAAGAACCTAAATGCCCATCAAATGATGAGCCGATCAAACAATAGATATCCTCAAGATGAAACGCTACTCTGCCATGACACCGATCCACACAGCAGCACGGAGGAGTTTTGAATCGTGCTCCTGAGCAGGTGAAACAAAATTCCCTTTGGAAAGAGTAAGCATGAGCAAGCGCGGGGAGGAACGGAGCCTGGCAGCTAGTCGGCAAGTGAGGGCTTCCCTGGGGAAGCACGGGGCCTCAGAGAGGCTCAGAGAGGCTCAGAGAGCTTCAGGCCACGGTGCCAGGAGGGAAAGGAGCAGGTCAGTCAGGGGATGCTGAGAACGCAGGAGTGGAAAAGGAAAAGAGGGACGTGGCTGAGGGGCCGCCCTGCAGTCGTGCTGGTTGTGCACTGCGTCAGACGGAGGCATCATTCCTGTCTGTGCCTGTGTGGCCATGGCCGCTTCCTGGGGGCAGGAAGTTCTCACTCCCAGAACCCTGGACGCTGCTCACCAATGTGCAGGGACACATGACTTGCACTTTTTATTTCTCTTATACGCCTATGACACTGGCGAGCGGCTGGCCTCTTTTTTTAAGTTGTGAAAACGATCCGTTCTTTGATAATTGTGAAACCCTTGGCGCCCCAGTTATCGACTCTTCTTTTCAAAATGATTAACTGCTACAGAAAAATGTAATTTCTTTCTTATGAAAGTAGCCTTGGAATAACTTCAGGCTTTTAAAAGCATGTCAGCATCACTGCAGATCTGATAACATTATGAGCTCATATATCTTACCACTGCGAAGTCAGGATAGAAAATACATCATCGCTCTCCGATTCCTGGAACAACTTCAGAAGTTCTGGATCCTCAGATAAGTGTGCGAGAATGCGCAATTCAATCTGCGAAAAGTCTGTACACAGAGTCCGGTGTTAATGCAGATCCCTACTGCTGCCCGACACTGCTGCAACCCCTCTTCCTGAAACCCACACACCACCATTCTCCCCTCCTTGCTGGACTAGCAGGGAACACATCCCAGCGCCCATCTGTCCCAGCACCAGCCAGTCCTTATCTACCAGCCCCAGAGACCTCTCTCCTCTCCTGGGTGGCTGGCTGTACCGTCATCCCTCCCATGAGTATCTTATAAAGGGCCTACTACGCTCCATGCTCAGGAGGTTCTGGAGACAGAAACATCAGAAAACCGGTTCTCACGGAGGCGAGGGAGAATGGTGCTGGGGATATTAAAGTGGTCAAGGGCGTGGAAAAGCAGAGGGAGGTAAGGAGCTTCAGGGGTGACTGTGTGTGCTGATGATGTAAACACAGGTAACCAGGAGAGACAGTGGTCGGAGAACAGGCAGGTAGGTGGGGAGGGAGGGAGCTGGGACGGGTGTGAAGTGTTCCCAGACACAGGCCTCGCCTAGAAATGCTGGTGTGTCAGAGGGACATCCACGTGGCTGAAGCCAGAGATGGCGATGGGGACAAGGACAGAGAAGAGAAAGGAGGTCAGGCCGAGTGGGGCTGTGTGGGACATGCAGAGCCAGGCGAGGACTGGGAGGGGCCTCCCCACCTGTAGGCATTTAGTATCCACAAGAAACGTTTGCTTTCTGCAAGTCTGTACCGGGTTTCAGATTTGTCAGAAAGAATAAGCTGGGGAAGTGACTAGGAGCGACCTAATCACCTAATCGTCCCACTATACAGAACACGCAAGGTGAGCTGTCAACGCACGCGGCTCTCCTACCTGCTGCCAGGAAGGTGTGGCCTTTAGACGAGACAAACATGGTCCTGGGGCAGATGGTGAGGGTCCCCTCGTGGGCTCCTGAATCATCTGAGGAGCAGCATTTACACTGTGAATTTGGGCAGCTATAAGCTAACAGATTCTCCTCATATAAATATTTTTTTAAGTTGTTACAAAGTAAAGCAACTAAATTTCTGAATAGTTTAGTTCACGTCATTTTAAATACCATATTACTACGCTGGTGGCTTGGTGGTAAGGAGTTGTGCTGCCAACTTAAAGGTACATGGTTCAAATCCAGCTGCTCTGAAATTTACCACCTCTGAACACCTACTCGAGGGTCAGCTATGGGTCGGTTCTAACTCGATGATATGTAATACTGAAAATCAGTGAGATGATTAGGATTTCTTGTCTAGAATTTCTTAATGGAGAAAATGCAGGCATGGAGAACTGGGGCATTCCCCAAGTGACCCGTGAGATGCTGGGACCTCCATGACAAGAAGCCTGGGTTTGGGGTCAGCACTGGTCCTGGAGTTTGACACTACCACACTGGACTCTGGAAACGGCTTCTAAACGCTAATGCCTTTTCTAAAATTCACTAAATGGGACTTTAAAGAGAAAACATTAAATTATTAGTATGTTTGGTTCAGGGTCAATGTTGGTTTACTTTGAAAGTGATAAGGTATCTATCTTTTTTGTCTATAAATAAATAAACAAACACACACCCATTTCACACGTTTTGTTCTGTGTTTAACCAGGACCCTGGACAGAGATCAGAAACACCATTAGCACCACTGCCTCTTTAAAGTGTATTCAGGGCAAACGGTCCTCCCTGGCTTCTAGAAAAGAAACTAAAGAGGGTTTTTTTCCTAAAAACAATTTGAAGGGGGTGAGTGAATGTGTGTGTGTATAAAACTGGAGGCTAAAAAAATAATGTGAATTTCCAGTGAAATTGTGTTCTGTATGAATAATACATTTCTTAAAGAAATACAAGCTTTTGATGGCAATTTCTCCCTCTTTTCCATGTAGTCCTTTTTAAAAAAGCCCCATTTTATTGTGATTGGTCGAGGGTTTACAGAGCAAATGGGTTTTCCATTTGTTTTGTGACACTGCAGCCCCCCCACCCCAGCCAGGCCACTGCACTCTCCCCCCAGGTCCTCCTCCTTCTGACATTTATTCCTGGGCAAATTCGATCCAGGGCTGACTACTCGCCCGGAGCATCTGTCCTGCTGTCAGTGGTCACTGACAGGTCTGTCTGAACACAGATGACCGAATACTTCCAGCGCTACTCCCATTTGCTCAGTCATTTCAACTGATGTTCCACTGATTACTAGAATTTCAGTTTTCCAAAAGTTTTCAGTTCTGCTGGACCTCTCAGTATCCTTCTACTTCCTGAAGTGGCTGAGTAGTGGCTGCTTCTTTTGGATGGAATGACTGTTCAGTCCTTCCATCTTTTTGTAACGTTTCCTGCATTATCCACTATTTTGCTCATAGAATCATCATAAGTCAGGCTTGACCTTTCCCCTCTGTTGTCTCAGGCTGGGAAGTGCTAGGTGGGCTCCTGTCTTTGCACGTTTCTCTGGACGCCTTTGCTGCCTTCTCCAGCCACTCCCTGAGCCCACCTGGTCAGCTCCCTCACTTCAGCATCTTTTCCTTTCCTTGCTGTTCTGATCTGCGCCCCCCCACCCCCCCCCCTCCGCCCCAGGTAGTTTTTTGTTCTTTCTTTCCCGTCTTCTTAGTGATCTTTTGTTTTCTTCCTATTTGATGCCCTTGATGTCATTCTACAACCTGTCTGCATTTCAGGTATATAGCGTCCAATACCTCAGACACATTTTTGAGCTTAGATTCAGGTGTGATAAACTCAGGGTTGGATTCCGATTCTCATGGACGTGGCTTCATTTCCTTCAGCCAAGGAGAACACCATGAGCACCTTGTCTGTGACACTGATTGCAGTGCTCTCCACAGCCTCCCCGTCTTAGTATTTCCACTGCTCCCCCTTTTCTCCTCCTCCTCCTCCTCGCCTTCTGACATTGGCGTTCACTCCTTGGCAAATGCGGCTGATCTGAGGCTGATGAGCACTTGGTGGTGTTTGCTCCACAGTTCTTCTCGGGCCTTGCTCTGCATGGTGACACTGAACGTCTCCACCACCTCTTGCCACAGTGCAGTTAATTTAATCCCTGAATTACCAGAATACCAATCAGAACGTTTCTCCAAACAACCGCATTACCGGATGTGCTCATTTGTCCACACTAAATAGACAGCTACCTGGCTAAATGGCTGGAAGGGACCCACACTTACACCCATTCTTAAAAAAGGGGAATCAACAGAGTGTGGAAGTGACAGAACAGTATCTTACTCTATCATGCAAGTAAACTCTTGCTGAAACAATATACAGACAAGGAACTGCTAGATAGTTCAGCCAGATTCAGGAGAGGATGTGGAAGGAAGAAGATCACTGCTCCTATCAAATGGCTGAAAACACATCATGATGAGGTAAACACCCAGAAAGATGTTTACCTTGGTTCTGCTCACTATAAAAACACATTCAACTGTGTGGATCATAAGAAATCATGGGCAACATGACAAAGAAGAGGAATTTCAGAACAAAACCTCTACAAAGACCAAGAAGCAGCCAAAGAAATACCGCATGTTTTAAAACCAGAAAACAGAGAACAAGTTTAAAACCATAAAAGATGTATGTCAGGGTTGTATCTTTTCACCTATCTAGTCAATGTGAATTCTGAGCAGACAATCTGAGGAGATGGACTTTGTAAAAAAGAACAACATTAGGACTGGAGGGAGACTCATTAACAACCTGCAACATGGACTCGACACACTGTGTTTAGTGGAAAAAGGAAGAACTCTTGAAGCACTTATTGAAAAAGCTCAAAGACTATACAGTCTGCATTGCATGTTACTATCAAGAAAACAAAAATCTCCACTACTGAATCACTTTGCAACTTCACCAGAAATGAAGAAAAGATTGAAATTGTCAAAGATTTCTTTTTATTTGGATCCCTAATCAAGAAAGTTATGCTACCAAGCCAAAGGTAGATGATTTAATCTGTGGCACTCAAGCCTGGTTTTAATTGTTCTTGGTCAAACGCTCTTTTAAGTGGTAGAGCACAGGTCTGTCCATTTGCTGTACAGAGGTAACTCATGGTTTCCTGATGCTAAACACTGTGATACTGATGTGTCAAATGTGATAATGGTTACCCAGGTTGGACAGTGTTTGGTGGAGCTCCCCGATTAAAACAAGCTGGAAGCAAGAGTGACATCCACTTCTAAAATGGTTTGCCTCCAGAAACTCTATGAATGTGGAGAAATGATGAAAGTTTTACAGGCGTTCAGGTCTTTCGTTCATAGGGTGGATATGACTCGTCTATGACTCAACGGCACTTAACAATAACATAACAACAATCAACAATCCTGAGAGCAATAGTCAAATCATCAAAAGACAATCTGTGGAGGAAAGATTGCTGGGAAAGTCCTTTTTAAAGTGTTAACGAGCAAAGATGTCACTTTGAGGGTTAACAAATGGATGTGAAAGTTGGACAATGAATAATGAAGACCAAAGGAGAATCGGCATGTTTGAATTGTGATACTGGTGAAGAATGCTGAATATAACATGTTTTATTAGAAGGACAAGCAAACATATCCGGAAGGATGTACTGAAGAACGCTCTTTGGAGGCGAGGAGGCCACACTTCACCGCATTTACTTAGAGCATGTTACTCATGGGTCTGGGGCTAGTACCTGGAGATCCTGCTTGGTAGAGGTAACTGACAGGAGGAAGCCCATCAAAGAGACGGGCGACACAGGGACTATAGCAAGGGCCTGGGGCGGGGTGGAGATGGTGAGGACGACACACAACAGGGCCAGGCTCGGGTCTGCTGTCCACATGGTCACTATGAGCCACATTCCACATACTGGTACCTCACAAGATTACTGTGACTGTGGCTACTGCAGACCTGGGCATGTAATAATGTTCACTCTTGTTCCTTTAAAACTTGCACTTCTCTCAGGACCTTCCTTTGCCTTGATCATGGTAGGAGTGGAGCAACGTTCTTTGTATAATTATCATCTATTTTAACTTGGAAATGGCTGGAAGGGAGGTACCATAGCACTTAAGCTGTGTTTTTCTTTCAAGTATATTTAAATTCTGGTCGTGCATACACAGAGGCAAAATCCACAGAAGTGAAGCCGTTACTTAGTACTGAAAACAAGTACAAACACTTCTGGGTTTTAGGACAAACATTATCTAAAAATGTCAGCAAATTAGAAATACGTTACCTTTACAATTTCTAGGTTTAGTAATTTGGATTGGATGCTTGGAGATGCCCTGGATATTCTGTTAAGAAGAAGAGAAGAGCTTTGAGTTGATATACCAGTCTTAAATCAACTGTACTGTATCAGGACATTTAAAATGTGCCACATTTTATTAAACATGAACTAAATAAGTAATGTCAATGCATTAAGCAGAAGCCTATTAATAATGAACATAACTGTATAATCAGTGAGTCTGAGAACAATTCTCTTACTGCAGCCTGTCTATCCATTATGGTAATTACATATAAACCGGACTCATCACTATGGCGTTGGAGCTGATGGGGAGCGTGTGGTCCAGTGGGTCTGAGGCTGTAAATGGACAGCAGAAGATTGCTCATCTTGGTCCTGGGAGCTGTGGGTGGATCTGAGGGAGTGGCCTTTCGCCTGGCACTGTACCTCCCTGTGGACTCCACTACCAGGGCTCCTTAGTTAGATATCATTTGCTGTATCATCAGGTCGAAACGGACTCCTAGCTGACCTTCTAGAGGTTTTCAGAGGTATGAGAGGAGACAGGAACTAGTTCTGTGAGATTGAAGAAGATGAGTAAACATTTAGGGATGTGCTTGGAGAAAGTGAGGAAGATTCAAAACACGGCAGAAGATGTGACACCAGCTTTCACTATGGGTTTCACCTCAACATCGAGAAAACAAAAATCGTCACCACTGGACCAACAGGCAACACCATGATCCATGGGACAGACTGAAGATGTCAACAATTCCACTGTCCTTTGGTCCACAGTCAGCACACATGGAGGCAGCAGTCAGTTCTAGAGAAGTATCGCACTGGAGAATTCCGCTGTGAAGGAGCCCTCCAAAATTCTAGAGAGCAAAGATGTCAGCTTAAAGACTCAGGTGTGACTGACCCAGGGCAAGGTATTTTCATTGCTTCATACGCGACTGACAGACCATGAACAAAGATGGCAGAAGAACTGCTGCCTTTGAACTGTGGTGTCGGAGTAGAGGACTGGCGATTATATGGCTGTCAGAAGAACAAAAGCTTCCTCTATCTTAGAGGGAGTGCAACCGAGGTGCCTCTTAGAAGCAAGGATGAGCATGTTGTTAGGAAAGGCCAGTCCTTGAAAAAGGACATCATGATGGGAGAGGCAGAGGGTGAAGGAAAGAGGAGAAGACATTCAGCAGGGTGGCCAGACACAGTGACTGTAGCCATGGTTTCAAGCAGATGTGCTGTGGAAGTGTAATAATGTCACAGATTGAATTGTGCCCTCAAAAAATACATGTCCCCTTATGTGGGTCTGGGACATCAGTGGCGTGGCAGTTATGTAATGGTCATCATCCCCTTGGTGTGGTCAGCCAATCAGCTGCAAATGCACAAGGGTGGGCTGCATCACCTTCTAACTCACAGGACGTAAAAGGAGAAAGGGGTGAGCGAGATAAGGGCTCTCCCATCATCAACAAGAACCAGGAGCAGAGCACACTCTTCAGACCCGGGGTCCCTGCACGGAGACCTCATCAGTAAAGGGAAGACTGACGCCAAGGCCGATGAACTTGACCAGGAGCAGAAGCTAAATGAGACAAAGAGCGCCCTCCAGAGATTACACAGAGAACGCCTGGCCTGCGAGTCAAGACCATCAATTAGGACTTCTCTGCCAGACTCAATGAAGAGGAAAGCAGCATCCAGAATGGAGAAGCACTCGTCCACTGCCCCGCGTTACGCAGATGAGACAACCTTGCTTGCTGAAACTGAGGTGGGTCTGAAGTGCTTGCTGCTGTAGTCCTCAACGTCAATTCAAACTCAACATCAAGAAGACAAAGATTCCCACCACTGGGCCAACTGGCAGCACCACGATCGATGGAGAAGAGACCGACGCTGTTAAAAATTACACCCTGCTCAGCTCCACAATCAACGTTCTTGGCTCCAACACTTAGGTAATCAGAAGACAAATTTCACTGTGAAAATCTGCTGTCAGGAGCTCTCCAGAGTACAACACTATCAGTCTAGAGGCTCAAGTGTGCCTGATCCAGGCCACGGTCTTCACAACTACTTGCTATGCATCAGAGAGCTGGACAGTGACTAAGGGTTACAGAAGAAGAATTAATGCCTTTGAGTTGTGGTGCTGGAGAAGAGTGCTGGACATACCATGGCTTGCCACGAAAATAAACATTAAACATGTTTGTCTCAGAAAGGGTGAAACCAAGTTTCTCTGGGGAGGCTAGGATTCTGAAGCTCTGTTCCATGTAGTTTGGGCACGTAGCCAGAAGGGACCAGTCCTTGGATAAGGACATCGTGCTTGGAAAGGTAGAGGGGGACAGCATAGGAGAGGAAGACCCCAGATGAGATGGATTGATACAGTAACTGGGGTAATGAGGTAGGTGTTTTGGAGTCAGTGAGACTGGCTCAGAACACGGCAGGGTTCAGAGCTGTTGTACACAGGGACACTGAGAGTTACAGGCAACTTGACAGCAAATAACAACAACAACAACGACATACATTATCTATCCATTCTCCTGCTGCAGACTTCATTATGGACTACACCTCAACATCAAGAAGACGAAAAGCCTTTCCACTAAGATGATAAACAACATCATG